TCACCTAATAACAAATTCTGGAGGGCGCGTGCGAAACAGCTCGGAGGCCCCAGGGAAAGGATGGGTAAAACATGGGGCCCGGAGGGTCGGGGATCTTTGGGATCGGGAAGCCGACAACTGGAAGAGGATAGGAAGGATGCGTACATGGCTGCGGTACTGCCATTTCACTGAGAAAGCACTCAACGATCTTATCGAGAGCTTCCCTCTCCATTGGTTCACCATCCTCAGGAAAGGTCTATGTTTAAAGGAAGGGGACTGAGTGAGGTTACCCGATCATGAGAAAGAAGTGGGGCGTGTGCACCTTACATGTCCTAAAGATGCAATACTAGAAGTCTTCTCCATTCAAAAAGAGGGTAGACTGGAATGGAATCAACAACCCTTTATTTGGAAGGACCAAAAGGAGATATATCGTATCAGGGTGCTTGAGGAGAATAGCTGTCCGAAGGTGTTTTGCCCTATGACTCCAATTGAGGATCTCCTCCTGGATCCGGCGGAATGGCGATGGACCCAAAGTAACCCAGCCGGTAAAGGAGGGGACAACTTACTGACACTACACAATCTAAGAACTAAATCAGCCTACCGAATGATCAGACCCAAATGTAGATTGAGGGACCGTGCGGACGACAGATGGTATCGCCATCTTAACATTGATCGTAGTCTGCTTAAACCCATTCGATGGTTCGCTCACCGTAGATGCAGACCCGCCAAAATCTCGGCCCTCCAATGGCAAATCGAACATAGGTGCCTACCAACCAATGATTGGTTGATAGACCACACACGTTTGGAACAGCAAGGGAAAGCACTTCCATGGTGTCACAAATGCTGTCAGAGCTTCCCTGGGACGAAGCGGGCGGAGACCATAGAACATATTTTTCTCCAATGCCCTGCGTCAGTGCTAATGTGGAGAAGCTGGGATAGAATTTGGCGCCACATTGTCCCCAGCAAGACGTGGCCATGGGATTGGAGGGCCATACTCCTCGGACACTACCCCCCAATCCGGGGAAACACATTTGTAGAAAATATGTTCAGACTGGGCAGGCGGAGTGTCTTATGGACCATATGGTGGAGGCGATGTACCTTGGAGATAGAAGGGGCGCAGGTGGAGGATGGAGAAGCCATGGAACAAGTACGGACATTGGTCCAATTCAAAATTGAAACACAATGGAAGGCAGTCAAAGACAAGCTCGACCAGTCATACACTTGGGGGGACATGAACAAGACCATCTCCCACTTTAGTAAAGACTGGCTGGGGGGGGCTAGGGAAGGCTGGGTAGCAGAGATAAAGTGGTCCGGATTCAACCAGAGGCAAGAACCCCAGGAGGGAATGGCAAGGGACTACCGGCTGATTTTTCATGATTGGACCAAAATCGATCCGGGCGTCCCTTTACGGCCAGCCCAGGACTTCGCAGATCCCTTTCCCCCCCACCCGTTGTCCTTAGTGGAAGCACTGCCAACGGCATGAACTGAGACGACAGGACGACAGTACACAAGGTTCAGAAGGTGGGAAAGTTTCAGGCAGGTTCTGGAAGGTTTAGAAGGTTTAGAAGGTTCAGAAGGCTCAGAAGGTTCAGAAAAGTTCAGAAAGTTCAGAAAGGTTCAGAAAGTTTCAGACAGAAAGGATCAGAAAGGAATCAGATAGGATCAGAAAGGATCAGAAAGGCCCAGAAACTGTCAGAAAGGTTCAGATAGGTTCAGAAAGAGTCAGAAGTATCCAGAAGATTCAGAAAGATTCAGAAAGGCTCAGAATAGGTTCAGAATAGGTTCTGAATAGGTTTAGAGAGGCTCAGCAATGCTCAGAAGGATAAGAAGGATAAGTAGGGCCCAGTAGCGTAGGATAGCATGATAGCATGACCAGAAAGATGGGCTGAGGAACCTCGTGGAACTGCTGGTGCCCCCCATAGGATACAAAGCAATGGGACGCTGGACCCGGTTTCCAGCAAGCTATCGCACGATATCTCATGTTCTTCATCTTCTTCTTTTCAAATGTAAGGGACGCTGGACCCGGTTTCCAGCAGGTGATGCTCCCCACCAATAGATGGAGCCTGCCTGGGGGTGGTAGCGGTGTCTGTTCATATCAGCACCCTAGCACCAACTAGTTTTGAGTAGTGGAAAGAAAGGTGAATAATATTTACGATGTCCCTTATTCTTGACAACCTTTATCATTGTCAAAGACAAGAATAAACACGAATTTCAATACCCGGAATGAAGGTTCTACCATCCTTTTTTTTTCTGCCATCAGTTTTCACAGTGCAAACACAATGAGTTGGAGCATAAAATAAGATGTATGTTTTGAACACTGACATTATATTTGACTCGGTTTAAAATATGATTTTTTTTTTCTATATGTATTGATTCATTGTGTTGGTGTTGTCTGCACCTATATGATCCCCTTCCTATAATAGTTTAAATTCATAACTCCCCTCCGTAGTACAGACGAGTAAAGTGTAACCTTTCTCCCCCCCCTCCGATTGGTAGCTTCATGGTCTTGAAAATTCTCGGGGACCATTACCAAACGAAAATTGTTAAGGATTGCAACAAAATACCTCAATATATTAAAAACAAAAAATTGCAAAGGTAAAGTGGCAAATGTGATCAAGATATAGACCCTTTCCTCCAACATTTTTCTTGTGGGCCTCATCATTCTTTTGTTTTTTTCATAAGGGCGTAGGCTTGAGATGATAATCAAACTGACCTTCCCAGATACGTCATAATCCTTTGATTTCTCTCATTCAGTTCCATATGGATGTGGATTTAGGTCTCTATTTTAACAATCTGTGGATGCACCAACTGAGCTATGCCTGTCAGTGCCTCACCAAATTTTACGATGTTCATGTTATCTCACGTTGTACCGGGCTACTCAATCCTCAAGGGGTCGACGGAGCACACAGCTGCAGAATAAACCCTTCGTTCAACTATTATTTTTGTTAGTCTTAAGTCCCCCCCCCTCCCTTTAGAAAGGTGACGGCCTTGAGATCATCAGCAAACTAACTGGCTCCATACAATTCAGAATTATTTTATTTCGTTCATCTAGTTTCTTTTGAATTTGAACTTAGGCCTCTACTTCAATAGTTGGCCTCAATTTCAATCGTTGCTGGGTGTGCCAACTGAGGAGCTAGGTCCATTGGCGCCTCACCGATTTCTGTGATGCTCATGCCGTCTCACATCGTCGTACCATAAAGAACAATCCAATCCCCAACTGAACAGTCACAGCATAGCGCCTTCCTTCAACAGTTCCTGTCTTCTCCACTTCCTCATTTGCCCAGCCCTCACCCAATTCCATCACACTGCTACAGAAACACAGTCTCTGCTCGGCCCACACTACTGGCTGCGAGCTCACGCCCTTGCAGTATGCCAGTCGTGTTCACCCTTGCGAGCCCACGTTGTTTGACATCCCTGTTACCTCCTCCAATGGGCTGCGACTCTGCACCCTTGCAGTATGTCAGTGCTCAGCAAATCATGACTCTGGCAGTCTCACTGGGCAGAGTGACTGCGGCCTGGCAGGACCCTGGGACCTCTGCCCAGCAGCGTGGCCAGACCCTGCGATAAGGCGCCACTGGTATTAGGTTTGTGCTGGGAAAGGATGATCCTGGGGGTTCGTGCTTTCTTAGCATGAACATAGTACCAGACTCCTGCTTAGCCAGCGCAAAAAAGATAGGCCTCGCTCCACTACTCTCGGCACGCACAAAAGACAAAAATCATGGCCGTGTATCTTTCCAGGTTTCTAGAGGAAGATTCACTCTCGTTTTGTACAATTCGAGAGGTGTGGAGCGAGGCCCATAGCATCAGAATTCGCACCTTCTCTTAGCACGAACTTTGCAAACACACATCACGAAGTGCGTCCTGTCTGTCCATGCATGAACATGCTTTCCAAGCACCGACAGTGGGCGGCCCTGTCTGTCACTGCCATTACGCCTCCCTACAGATCTGGTTCCTTCTTTTCTTTTTCTTTTTTTTAATTATAAAAGTGGCAATCAAACTCGTATGAAAAGACACATATTGCTACAGACCTGTGATTATCATCACAACATCTTGCCTGCCCTCTGAGGAGAGGCAGAGACATATGGAGCATTATGGACCCAACTTCCACACCCTTCAGAGTATATCTTGCTACAGGTAAGTTTTGGTTCCACAGTCCGAAATTTGAAAGAGACTGCCACAGAGTATATCTTGCAAAACAGTTCCACTGGCAGTGTTAGGCCTGCCGTGAGATCAGCTCCTGCAGAAATCACCACCCTTTAGATGTGGGAGCCCAAGCGGGCCAGATCCCACGTCTTCTGGAGGCAAGCTCCACATGCTGAAGCATAAGCAAGAAGGACTGTTCGGCAAATTGAATGACAAAGCATTCGCAAACGCAACATCTCTCTTTCAGTTGATTGTAGAAAATGACATTATGTTCCACTAATCATCTAGTAATCCTAGTTACCTCTGGTTTTCAAGTCAGTGGCGCCTCCAAAACCACCCCATTCTCCTCACGAATCATCTTGTTACTGATCAGTCAGACCCAAGACTGTGGCGCGTCCAAAACCACCCCATTCTCCTCACGAATCATCTTGTTACTGATCAGTCAGTCTTACCCTTTCAATCTCGCATTCTCCAATCACGTGCTTGCTCAGCTTCCAGCTTTCCCCACATCTCCTTGCACCTTCCCTTATCCTTGCCTCCCCGTTGTCTCATTGTTCTCTGGCTCTTGCTTGCAACCCATAAATGAGGACACACCGCACAGTTGACCATGGTGCACGGACTCAACCAGACCATACCAGGCCGTGCAATTTCACCTCTATCTGGCACACCACAAACTACACCCCGACAGTCACAGTAAACACAACCCATAACCATCTGTGGCCCTGCTTCTGACACCAGTCTTCTTCCACGAATAGCTCCTTGTGGCATGGCATAGAAGATGTGGAAAGGTATCCAGTAAGTAGCCATGTTGTACCAGATGATACATCCGTTGGGAAAGCTTACATGTTGGTCTTAGAGCTGACTTCAGTCATGGCCAGAAATGATGTGCAATTTTGTTCCATGTCAAAAGGTCTCGCACTGGTAAGAAATCTCACAAGAAAGGGTCTTCTCTTCAAGCTGAGCAAAGTGTAAACATGTGCACCTTCTCGCCCACTGAATATGTCCATCATGTGTATGTTTGTCCGGCATGGATGGGCAACCATAACGTCTAAGTTGAGATGGTGGGCTTGGAAAGCTGCGCACAGTAGAAATCCTTGGCCCAATTCCGCATCTGTTACTTCATAACGTCTCCAGCTGGCAATGCGTAAGTCAGAATCAGCTGTGATAACTCAAGCAGTAGATTGCATACCCTGAAAACGCCTAGCATTATGCCTAGGTATAGCATCATTCCCAAGCCCACGAGCACCATTTACTTCCAAATCATGCTGGAAAACAAAATCGGGAATGGTTATTTGCTCTCGAGGAATGGCCGTGAACAGGTCCAGTAGTCTGTCCACATATACCACTTTTCGCCAGACCTCAGACTCTAAAAACTGCATTGCCATCACCGCAAGCTTGAGCCCAGCAGTAGGATGAAGAATGTAAATGACCTTCAAATTCTGCTTGTGTCTCCATCCGAGAATTTGATGCAGCCTCTTCATCCACATGATATCTGGTTTCAATCCAAGCGAAGCAGCTGAATGGAAATACACGACTGCATAGGGACGTTGAATAACCTGCTCAAATTCCTTTACAACATATAACACAAACTTCTCAAGCTCCATGCAACGCAACAAGAAATGGGCTCCACAAACAACCATTACTGGATGCCCCTCCACATCTTCACCTCCGCGATAAACAATTTTCATCTCCGCCACATCACTTAGATTCACTGCATTGGCACGTGCCAAATATCTGGCATGAAGAGCCTCTTCTTCCACAACACTGAGTGGCGGTGACCCAAACGCACTCAGACCAATCAATCCTCCCCATCTCCGCCAAGCCGAGTTCAACTGTGCAGCCCTCTCCATTTGCTCTTTCCTTCGGGAGTCAGGATCTCTCAGCATTGCAATAAATGTCGGATCCACAAGTGACCCTTCATCATTGTCCCTCTTCGGAGAAACCCTAAAGGGATCTGCTACACAGGGCGACCTTCTCGGGGATATGGCAGGAACCCCTGGCAAGATTCGGATTTTCCGCTCATCTATCACTGTCTCTCCATTTTCATCACCAACATCACTTGGAAGCTTCTCCCTTGCAATTTCCTCTTCCTTCTTATCCCTGGGAAAATACAATGGTAAAAGCCTTCTGTAGATTTCTGCATCGAACGATGACACCGTGCAGAAAACAACAGCCAAAAGCTTCTGTTTGTGCTTTTCCAAGAACCGCCGAACAGTTCGAATTGCAACATGTGCAGCAGGTTCTCTTGGATATTCTTTCGCTTCAGTATAGATGCATCCAAACGCAATGCTCTTAAATCCATGTTCAATAAGCAATTCCAAGCAGGAGCGGTAACAATGGCTCAGCGCATTCTCAGCAGCTGTGTGGTATTTAAAGGCGTAACGAGGACCAACAGTATGAATAACTCGCCTGGCAGGGAGATCATAGCCACCTGTTATTTTCGCCTCTCCTGTTCGACACCCACCCAATGTGGCGCATTCCTCCGCAAGAGCTGGGCCAGCGGCCTCATGCAGACCAGGAGAGCTGTGTGCAACATCAAGGCTCTCGTTAGTGGTGTTAACAACAGCGTCGACTTCTAGTTGCCATGCAGCTCCTCTCCAAAGGTAAAGCTTGGAATTAATCTCGTGATCGACAGGGAATTTAGAACCGGAAGACCTATCGTTAGCACGCTCCTGATCCTGCCGCCCCACCGACGATGCCAGCGGGTCGTCCTCTCCGCTTCCACCTACTCCCCCGTCATTCCTCACGCTCTCATTTGCCGCCACAGCTGGGTCGTACTCACACCATCTCGTGATCTGATCAAGCTTGGTCACTGACTCTCGACTACCGCTCTCCCTATACATCTCTGTGTGCGTGTGTGTGTGTGTGTGTGTGTGTGTGTGTGTGTGTGTGTGTGTGTGTGTGTGTGTGTGTGTGTGTGCGTACGGCTCGCTCACGGGGTGTTGGGAACACCAACCAACGCGCGAGCTCTGTATGTGTTCGTGAACTTAGGTACGACTGCCGTCAAGCAGACAGCAATCATAGGCGCGTATGCTTTCTTTTCACATAACACGCGTTCGTTTCCACCCGTGTGTTTGTGTGTGCGTGTGATTATTCGTGTGTGTAGCTGACCGCAGAATCTCGGACAAACTCCCGCTTGTCATCGAAAGCGAAGCAAAAGTCTGTATGGCTCTATCCTCCTCCTCAGTCCTCCATTCGCCACGCTCGTCTGTCGTGCAAGCACCCAAGTTCTTTTCTACCAGCAACTCACCCTTTCCTGTTCTCCTTTTCCAGCATCCCCCGATCCCTCGAGGCTG